TAATCTACCATGACCTGAATGACTGAGAATCTTCACAGACACAAAACAGTCAGATGTTGTCCTCAATCCCAAGTGGAGCAGGCTGAGAGCAATGATCTATGTTAGATCTGTACCCCTCACCTCCACGGCGTTGAACACTTTTGACTGACCAGCTTGGCCAGCAGTTTGCAGGCTGTACAGGTCGAGGAGTGGATGATGCAAAACCATTCACACAGGACACGTTGCACAGGCGTCTGGAGAAACTGTGGGGTCAACACCCTGCCACCACACCATCTTCCTGAAACCACCTCTAAACCGGTTCCATCTGGTTCATCATTTCATCAACTGGATTATGGACTTCCTCACGCTCATGTCAATAAATGAAGGAGTGGGTCAATAAATCAGTGACTTGCACAATCCGTACGCTGGCTCCTTAATCATAAAATGAATGAAACACAGTGGATGTCTTCCCACACACTGATAAAAATGCTTGTAGCCTCTGACGCTTCATGTTTGCCGCAAAGTCATTAGGAATTTGAAGAGCACACTAAACTAAACAGAAAAAAAGCCTTCATTTTAAATTCACCTGAAAGAATGAGAGGTATTAAACAAAGCAAATGAGCCGCAGCGTTCCACGTTAAGTAAACTGTGTCTTCATTTATCTCTTCACAGTAGTTTGATAACAAAACAATCCTCGTATCTGATCTACATGATGTAATGACTGTAGGTAATGTTTGTCCAGGTGCTGGAAACGGCCGCTCAGGTAGAACAATCATCCATCCATCAGCTATACAACGCTTAATCCTCACTAGGGTCATGGAGGGCTCGGTGGTCAGCACCGTCGCCTTGTAGCAAGAAGGTCACCGGGATCTTTCAGCGTGGAGTCTCCATGTTCTCCCCGTGCACCGTGGGTTCTCTCCGGGTTCTCCGGCTTCCTCCCACAAGGTCCAAAAACATGTTGAGGTTAATTGGTGATTCTAAATTGTCCGTAGGTGTGAATGTGAGTGTGCTTGGTTGTCTGTCTCTAAGTGTAGCCCTGTGATAGACTGGTTACCTGTCCAGGTGAACCTGCCTTCACCCTGAGTCAGCTGGGATAGACTCCAGCCCCCCATGACCCTAGTGAGGATTAAGGTGTAGAGATGATGGATGGATTTTTTGTACTTGGTTAAGCAATTTATTGCTCAGTGACAAAATTAACACAAAAAACAGCGACAACACAAAGAAAACCACTAGTGGGCGTTGCTAAAATCAGTGAACTGAATAAAACACATAATGCACATACATTTTGTATGCACGTCCCTCGTGTTCTGCTTTAACAGTTAATACGCTTAATCGATAAATCACTGAAAGCTGCTAATCAATTAACAATCAATCACTGACATCCCTACGAGCAACTGAGTTGTGTGAGGAGATTTAGGAAAGAGGTTTTCCACATTTCAGCACCAATATTGGTCCAAAAGCACGACGAGGAGCTCAAAATACACAGATTGCATGCAAAAAATCACGAACACCTTTCTCCTTCACTTTGCCCTACAGAGTTACTATTTCATCTATTATCAACTGATGTGTTCATATTAATAAAACTCTGCTCAGATGAAGACAGGACTTCTCACGGTTAGATTGTTCTTGCTTGTATGACAGATATTGCATGCACACTATGGCTTACTGTGTGGTAGGCGTGTCAGGATGAAATCATGACGAACATAAAAAGAGACCAACATCTGACTGACACGATGGCATCACTTTAACAGACTGAGGAATCCAACAAGACCCGGGTCAGCAAAGCTCCTGGGCCACGAAACATTTGCAGCACATAGTTGAACACTGAGTGGGACGATAACTCAGATGTGAAAAAAGTCTGATATTATCCTCATCCCCAAGTGGAGCAGAGATGGTGTAAATGTCCTCGTCTGCTCTTCGTTGTCTACACCATGATGAGAGTTTTACATTTTTAAAGCTACTTTAGTTATTACTCATATCTGACTATGTTACTATGCAGCAGAATTTGCCAGTAAAGTCCAATAAGGTATTTTCTGATACTGAATACTAACAAATATGAAAAGTGAGAGTGTATTGTTCTGCTGTGTTCTACACAAATAAAACATTAATGTAGTCCAGCAGCTTGCTAGCGTTGATATTTACAAGCAGGTAAGTGAGCATTTAGATTCTTTAATGCATGGCAGGTAAACATTTCTGTATGAAAAGCCGTTGCTTTAGAGCAGGGGTGTCGAACTGCGGTCCTCGAGGGCCACAGTCCTGCAAGTTTTAGATGTTTCCCTTCTTCCAACACACCTGATTCAAATGATCAGCTCATCATCAAGCTCTGCAGAAGTCTGATAATGATCCTGATAATTTGAATCAGGTGTGTTGGAAGAGGGAAACATCTAAAACATGCAGGATTGCGGCCCTCGAGGACCGGATGTCGACACCCCTGCTTTAGAGGTTGTGGGAAAAATGCAACACGTGAAAAACCTGGACCGATTAACAGTATTAGTAATCTAATTACCTTTTTCCACAACTGTAATGGAAATACAGTTATGCAATGCCATTCCATGGGTTTTGCTACCCTCGATGCCTGAATAGCGGTATCTGAGTGCTTCCATGGATTCTTTCATATTAATCACATAGAACCTAACATGTAAGTCACAATAATAATCATATTCTCTAATTGTTGTGAAGACCACAGGGACCAGGCCTTAGCTCTTTGCTTTTTTACAATCTGTACTTTTGTGAGGTGACATCACGTTCATTTTTATTACTTTATGTGTGCACAGAAAGCCAGATGACACAAACTCCTAAAGCTACAGGTCCTAGCTGTCAAAAAACTTTACAAAAATAAGAGATTCATGAGTATGTAAGGGGCTGCAAGGTGGCGCAGTTGGTAGCACTGTTGCCTCGCAGCAAGAAGGTTGCCGGTTCGCGTCCCGGTGGGGGCACCGGAATCTTTCTGCGTGGAGTTTGCATGTTCTCCCCGTGCAGCGTGGGTTCTCTCCGGGTTCTCCGGCTTCCTCCCAAAGTCCAGAAACATGCTGAGGTTAATTGGTGATTGTAAATTGTCCGTAGGTGTGAATGTGAGTGTGCTTGGTTGTCTGTCTCTAAGTGTAGCCCTGTGATAGACTGGTTACCTGTCCAGGGTGTCGCCTGCCTTCGCCCTAAGTCGGCTGGGTTAGGCTCCAGCCCCCCATGACCCTAGTGAGGATAAAGCGGTGTATAGATGATGGATGAGTATGTAAGTAAAGTTTTGCTGTTAAATCCAGATAAAACAGGGTTAACTGTTGTAAGACCAGCCTAATATGGGCGTTTGTGTGGCAATTTAGGAGCTAACATCAATGTCTCGACTATTTATAAAAGTCTGACCCTGAAAAATCTTACAGTCTTTTTTTGACTCTCTCATAATTTGGCCTATTTCTAAGGAAAGTGTGTCAGCGCTGAAGAATGTACCAGCTGCATGGTGTCATCATTTTGGGAGAAAAGTGTCTCTCGTCCTGTTGAGGACGTTCATGCTGCCGTACGTAGAAGGTCTTTCGAGGTCCCCAAGAAAGAATATGTGCAAAATATTTGTTGGGATTCACATTATAGACTTTTACATTATGTTTAATACATTTTCTGATAAGTTTTTGGTTCCAAATGCATGACAAATGTCCCTCTTTTTATATTTGAAAAATAATTTAAAAAAAAAAAAAAAGCAATACCTGTCACCTAAACCATATGGCCTGGGGTTAAACCAATCACAAGGCTCTTGGGTGGTGCGACAGGATTTGTCAAAACAGCAACACACAGATTGTAGGCAGGTGAGCGCTGAGTGAAATGCACTTTGGAAGTAGCAGACTTACACTCACCGTCTACAGTCAGTGAGTCAGATTCATTTTGTCTGACACTGAAGTGTCCTGTCATAGCTACTCACATTTTTTTCATTGGAGTAATATTTCTATAAGCCAACCTGTTCTCTCACTGTGCGACAGTAATCCATGCATTTGTGTCTTAGACTTTATTGCTGCTGCTGACTAAGCCCACTAGAAGTCTTCATCATCAGACTAAAAGCGTTGATCCTGACTCCGGTTGTGGCCTCTCTCCCCTGCTCACCGGCGCAAACTGGAGCTGGATTTGAGGTTCTTCTTTAAACATAACAGGCATGCCATGTCCTTACTTATCTGGGCCAGTGATACCACACACACTGGCACTCCCCCTCTGCTCTCTGGTTGTTCCCTCAGTTAACTGAAAACTGGGCGGCTTTGGAGAATTTGCCCACCTTGGCCCCTTATCTCTGATATGGCTTTCCAGAGATAAGGGGCTGTGATGACATGAACTTGTATTCACATCACTGCAGTCCATTTCATGCTAACTCAGCGCCTTTTCAAACATCCCGGAAATGTTGACGTATATTCTAACATACTTTTATCTCTTACTGGCACACTGGTGATTCTACACGTTAAATAAAATCAAATTTACCAGCAACATGTTGTTGAGTTTGATAAAAAAAAATATATGTGACAAAATGACAGTAAGAGCTCAGCAGGTGCATCTCTAGATGAAAAAATCCCAGAGTGTAAGAAACAACTGCTTATGTTGTTTAAATGTGGCGACAGCTAACTTATCAATTATTATCAAGTACATTTTTATTATTAAGTAAATCTTCACTTCCTGGGCTTCAACTTTGTTCTCTTCCTTTATTAGCCCTGACATCATAGAATGTAATCTTTTATTGTTTTTGGGCAAACAGAAGCTAAAAAAAAAAAACAAGCATGCATTACTGCACAATCACGTAAAGAAGCTTAGATGCTATTTTTGTTCAACATACGAAACAACTATCCTCAAGGTGCATGTAAAGTACTCTGCAGTGTCACCTTTCCTTTTTCTGCATGTTCTCAGTTGAATAAATGTGTAGCTAAAATGACAAATCCTCGTGTTTGCAACGAAAGAACGTTGTTCTGGCCTGTCAAAGTGCTCCCAGAGGATTATTTATAGTCATTCATCTCCTCATGTAGCTTTCACAGACAAACTAAAAGGAACAACCCACAGGACAAGGTCAAGAAATCAAACAATTTATTACATCAAAAATTCACAAAAACCAGTCAGTAAGGCGGATAAACGTCAGTGTGAGTGTACAGCTGAGTGGAGAAATGTGCATGGAGCTGCTAGATGTAGAAACAACAAAGCAGATCAAACCAAAAACAAAGAACCAAGCTGAGAGAGCGACATAGACAAAAAGAGGAAGGCTTCCCACTTCCCTGCTCTGCTCGCCGGGTCGTGAAAACCCACCGGGCCAGGCAGGTCAGAGGAGCAGAGGAAGTCTGTCACATATCTACTGAGAAGATAACAAAAAATGTGTGCAGACTGCATCCCATGGAAGTGCAGCCTTAGTTGCTTTAGCAGTTATTTACATTGTGGCTGCAGCCTAATTCCAGGAATTATACTTTGGGTTCATCTCAGTTTTTAACCTCCTCCAAAGCCAACATATATTCATTAGGAAAAAATCAAAAATTTTAATTATAACATTTTTAAAAAATGTTTTCCATTTTCTGATTTTCTGATTTGTTTTGTAGACAGAACTTTGAACTAATGGGCATTGCACAATCTAATGAGTACAACATGTTGCTGAGCTTGCCAGACGCTCGTATTTCACAGTGTTTCATTGCATAAGTCAACATGTGGCATCACTTGTTGCAAAGGATCACACTGGAAAACAGGCAAGTGGAGAACAACGAGCCACAGTATACACAGTTCAGTTGTATTTGTTTATACAAAGACTAATAAAATTACTGTTAACTGGATTAAAGTCCACTGGGATCAAAGATTTTCAGCCAGATGACGAGAGAGTTATCTGCAAAGATTGTGTATAGTAGATAGTATGTGGTTAATAATTTAGATATATGCCAACAGATATGTATGAAATCTGTGCTAATCACATAACTGCTTTGAAAAAAAGAGCTCAATCATGTTTCCTAGAAATGCAAAAGCAACATAAACGCTTCTAGAGAGGATTGAAATCTGAGAACGTGCCATCTGGTCGGTCTAGTATTTGAGTCTGTATCTAAACTGAACATCTGTGACGGGCTGCATCGTTCCAAAGCCCCATCGCTTGAAGTCAATTTGAGGGATCTTCTCCTCAGGATTCTTCAGCTCGAACTCAAAGTAGGCTAACATGAGGTAAACAAACTGTTTCAGCTCATTGGTGGCAAAGAAACGCCCAGGACACATGGAGACTCCGGCACCCCAGGGCATGTTGTAGTACTTCACCTTCTTCCCTCCTTTGTAAAAATCTGTTTTCTTGGTTCCGTCTGGATTCAGAAAGCGGTCGTATTTGAATGAATGAGGGTCAGGGTGGATCTCGGGGTCGAGTTGGACGGCGCTGTAGGGAAAAACTGACATTCTGTCCCCCTTGCGTATCAGGTATTCGCGCCCGTCAACCAACTTGAGGGTCATATCCTGCATGACGGCCCTGGTGAGGAGGGGTGCAGCGGTGAGTCGGAGGGTCTCTTCCACGGCGCTGTCCAGGATTGGGGTTTTCATCAGCATCTCACGGGTCAGGTCGATTAAGGGGCCGCCACGCCGGATTTCCTGGCCAGACTCCTTCAGAACTTTTTCCACCTCTTCCCTCACTGCCGTCATGGCGTCCGGGTGTTTCATGAGGAAGAGGAGCAGCCAGAATGCAGAAGGCCCAGTGTTGCCCTGAGAAGCCCAGAGAAGCAGGAACATGTACCGGTCTATCATCGAGTCCTCCACACCCTTCTCCGTTAAGGCTCGCTGCAGGTCGAACACCCAGCCTCCGATGTTGTCCCTGTTCCTCACCTTGTGCACTGCCAGGGAGTCCCAGAAGAACGACTTCAACCTATCCGCCTCCATCTTCTGCCTCGGTGGGAGAACCCCGTAAGCAAGGCTGGGAAAGAGTTGGTCGTATTTACGGAACTCGGAAAATAAGGCGTCTGATTCAGCTCTGTCTTCCGCTTTGGCGTTCTCCTCACCTCCTGCTGACCTGGGTGGCACATTGCCATACAGGGCCAAATAGCCGGCTCTGAAAACAATGTTGTAGCAGTACATGAACAGTCCATCTTCTACCCACGTCCTTTGGTCTGCAGCCGAGCCAATGTTGTGCAGCATAAGGTTCTGTAAATTACTTGTCATGGCTTGTGTCATCGCCTCCAGGCCATCCCCCTTGAGATGCTTGTTGCTGGATATCTGAAGCATGTGGTGATCATCCCCGGTAGAGACGTAACCAAACACTTGGCGCACCAGGTGCCTGGCAAACTTGTTAAAGTCCAGTTTTTCTCGACTCTCTTTTGTAAAAGTCCCAAACGACAGGGGATCCTGAAGGAATGTAAAATAAAACCCTCCCAGCTGAACAGTGAATACATCACCGTGCTGCTGCTTCATCCTCTCAAGGAACTTCAAAGTGTCCCGGCGAAACTCGAGGACATGACCCAGCCAAGGAATGCGCCCTTTGTCCAGAGGAGGTTCTCCTGGTCGCCGCTGTCGAAAGACCCCGAGAAGATACAGCCCTCCGATCAGAGCCGCCAGTAAGGCAAGCAGTATTGGCAGCAGCACACCCATGACTGATTCCCTTGGCAGCCCCGGGCCAATTTGGAGTTAAGGTCCACATGCAGCACAATAAACAGTCTTTTGCTCCTCCCTTTACTTGCAGGATGGGTTTCACCATTCCTGGAAGTGCACACACCAACATTTCCATATAAAGCTGAAAATTACAAGCGTGAGGTTGTTTTCTGTTTGTCCATACATTCATTTGTTAATTTTTAAAACATGCTAAAACTTTTCAGGGTTCTTAGTTGTTTACTTACAGTGAAGACAGAAGGGCTTTTAATCCCTTCTTTTTGGACCGTATGAAGAAAACAATAAGTTGCCTTTTCAGAAATGTTCTTAATTCTTAGTGAAGCTTGATGTGCCTAAAATATTTACAGAGCTTGTGCACATTATGCCATCACAAGCAGAGCATTCACAGTCTCTCTCTCTCTTGCCCGATTTGCAAACACCCTGCAGTCAGTGTCACATGACTGCTGGTTAGACTCATGCTGGCAGAGGCATTGTTTTACCTCTTGAGAAGGCATGCAACCTTATTATCAGGTTAAAAATATAAACATGTATGATTGTGTTGTTTAAATGTGGAAGGAACTTTTTGACCAACATCACAAACTGTCGTCTTTTGGTCAAAAAAAGAGCTTTGCTGAGCTGCATATGAAATGGACACCGTTTCCTGTGCTAATATTAATAAGCTATAATAACGTATTGTCTGGTAGCAGGAAGAGTTCAAATAAATCCTGACGCTCATCAACAAGTAAAACCGGTCTAGTGACATTCTTCTAGTGCATGATCTAAACACACTGCATCGATCACTGCCAGATTAAAGGCACAATTGTGCAACAACAGCTACTGATGATGACTGTTTCATAGAGACTGCACAAATGGAGATGCATATTTACCATCGTGATTATATACACAGGATGTTCAGTCCTGTCCCTCTGTGCTGCTCCCACTGTGGACGTGCAGCACCATCTACTGGATCATATATTTTACTGGAAAACAAGCTGCAGTGACATTTGAGTTCAACCTAAATTGTTATTATTATTATACAAACCTTAATGCAGTTTGCATTGAATTCAACAGCTCTGTGTTTACATCCACTGTATAGAAAGACTTTTTTATTCTCACTGTCTGACATTAAATCAGACAAAACTTTTCCTGTTTCATGTCAGTCAGGATCACCAATATTATTTCTATTTGCTAAACACCAGAATAAAGAGAGAGAGAATGTTTTTTTTTATTACTTTCTTCAAAGTCAGAAGTTTACATCCACTAAGATGCCTTCAAACTATTTGGGAAAGCCCAGATGATGATGTCATGGCTTTGGAAGCTTCTGATTGGTTAATTGACAACATCTGAGTTAATTGGAGGCACACCTGTGGATGTATTTTAAGGCACACCTCAAACACACTGCTTCCTTTGATGACAGCATGGAACATCTAAAGAAATCAGCCAAGATATCAGGAAGAGAACTGTGGACCTCCACCAGTCTGGTCCATCCTTGGGTACAACTTCCAGATGCCTGAAGGTTCCACGTTCATCTGTTCAAACAGTTCTATCAGTATAACCACCATGGGAATGTCCAGCCATCACAAGGCAACGCTAGCAGATACTGAGGAGATGGATGGAAACTTCTGACTCTGAAGAAAGAAGTAAACAATTCTCTCTCTCATTATTCTGGTGTTTAGCAAATAGAAATAATGTTGGTGATCCTGACTGACCTGAAACAGGAAAAGTTTAGTCTGATTTAATGTCAGATAGTGAGAAGAAAAAAGGTTTTGTGTCTTTTTATACAGTGGATGTAAACTTCTGGTTTCAACTGTATGATGCCTTTAATGGACTGAATTCATGATTTCCTCTGTTGAGCTGCCTAATCTCATGTCAGTATTCATTCACAAATTCACCCCTAGGTGGAGCTGTGTTCTTTGTTCTAAGCGTCACTGCAAACCATTCGACAGCAGCAGACTTTTTAAAAACAGTTTTATGTTTGAGTTCTTTGTCTGCACACAAGTCAAAACAAAATGCTGCAGAAGCTACGTTAAAATCATGATAATTTCCAATATTAGCAAAAACATATAAAACGTATGGGTTGAATAGCAGAAAGCACTTTGTAAGCAATGTGCAACAAAGTGGAAGTAAATTTAAAATGTGTGTATTTAACTGTGTTTTTAGAGGGTTGCCTGGAAGGTTGGTGTTGGTTCATTTCTTCCCCTCGACTCTTAAATTTCTGCTTTCATCTTCAGTTTGTGTTTGGATCTGGAATATGACCAGCGGGAAATGGTTCCATAATTGCATTACGGAAATGCCACATGCTCATTAGGGCTTCAAAGCTGGTTTTGATGTCCATTCTGGAGAAGGTGGAACAGAAAGCAGAAGCTCTGATGCAAACACATCAAACTGATATTTTTAGATGGCAAAAGATGCGTCGTTCTGCTTTAGCTCGATATAGCTTGTTTTGGAGGTATGGAGCAAAATGTGCAGTTAAAAATAATCTTTAAATTAACTGTAAAGTGTCTGTGTTGGTTGCATTTGTCAAATCAGGCTTAGGAACAATTACGTATAAGAATCATTACGAAGAATGCATAAACTAATAATCTTATATCAGAAACATTTCAGGGGCCACAAACGCTGATGTGTTGGCTTGTTTATGTAAATTAGTTCAAGTTTAAAGGCCTCAGATGAAAGATAGACAATTCATTAAAGTTAAATGCATGACCAAGATGACCCTAAATGCACTCTTTCTGATCTTGTTCTGTTATTTAGTTGGTGAAATGTTTAAAACTGCACATGCTGCTAGAATTCTCCATACAGTGACAATGATAGAGTATTATAAATACTGCTCCCATACGGTGATGGTTATTCTTTTACTCTGTTTTAAATACACTGAACAACAAATAA